ACTCTGCAACCTCACTCTACAATTCCACTCTCTCCTCTCAACTAGACATCATGGCACCTCCTACATTCAAACACAGCAAGTGTTCCCAATTACTACCCTGGCACACCAAGCTGACCCGATATCTTATGAAATGTTCCAGAACTGCTAAATGCTGTTGGAGAAAATCTCACTCTGCACCTGACTTCCTCCACTATAAATTTATGCTGCACTCCTACACTCTGGCCTAAGCAAAAGTAAATTACTTCAACACCTTCATAAGCACACTGTCCCGCCAACCCAAATTCCTATTTCACACTTTTAATGCTCTCCTTTGTCCTGTTGCTCCTCCTCCTCCTACCACCCTGTCCGCCTCAAACTTTGCAACTCACTTCACTGAGAAGATTTCTACAATCAGGGAAGAGATTTCTAACCTTCCTCTCTCCCCTTCTAATACTTCTTCCAATACATCACCCAACCCCATTCACTCCACTATTCTATGCTCATTTGCACCTACTTGTCACGATACCTGTCCCTCGCGGCACCGTGCGATCACAGAAATTAAGTTCTAATGCACACACATTTATGCCTAACCTCCTGATGCCTTGTTATGACATCATATATAATGTGGACCCCTCCCATTAGTCTCATTTTATAGTGTCAGCCCATATGTTGCTTTTTGATGATGTGCAAAGGCTTGTGACATCATGGTCCTCTGTGACCAATCACTACCCAAAATAGGGTATATATACTTCCTGGTTGTCCTTGTTTCCTTGCCCTGTCATGGTTCTTGTTACCTGAGAGTGTGTTTATACTGTGTATTGGATTTCCTGTTCTCTGACCTTGGCTTGTTTAACCATTCTTGCTCTTTGTTATCCTGTCTTGGCCTGGCTATCATTTCCATGTATTTCCAAGTATTTCTGTAATCTTGACCTCTGCTTGTTTCTTGTTTATTCCTCTGTCTGCTTGCAGACATTTCATTTATCTGTCTCAGGCACAAACCCGGCCACTCTAAGGACTGGTACATGTACCTTTACTGTTACCTTTATGTTTGCGTGTTAGGGTAACTCTATTCCTGATACTACTACAATGGAAGAGGTTTCTGCTCTGCTCCGATCCTCCCGCCCCACCACCTGTTCCCTCAATCCTATTCCCTTATAACTCATCCACACTCTGACTCCCTCTTTTGCTCTTCCTCTCACTAAAATGTTCAATCTCTCCCTTTCCTCCAGCATATTTCCTTCACCCTTCAAGCATGCAACCATAACGCCAATTCTAAAAAAGCCCAACCTTGACCCCAGCTCCCCATACAACTACTGCCCTAAATCGTTACTGCCATTTGCCTCCAAGATCCTTGAGAGAGTCCTCGAATCCAACTCTTTGCTTGACCCGCTTCAGTCTGAATTCCACACTCGTCACTCTGTTGAAACAGCTGTGACCAAAATATCCAACGATTTAATCGCTGCTGAATCTCGTGGCCATAACTCTATCCTGATTCTCCTTGATCTTTCTACTGCCTTTGACACTGTTGATCACCAACAGCTTCTTCTCATTCTCCATAATCTCAGTCTCATGAGATACTGCTCTCTCGTGGTGCTCCTCCTACCTTTCCCAGCGCTCTTTCAGTATTTCTTTCGCTACCTCTGCCTCTTCTCCCAAACCCCTCTCTGTTGGTGTTCCCCAATGTTTTGTCCTTGGTCCCCTACTGTTCTTATCTATATTGCCTCCATTGGTAAACTCATCAGCTCCTTTGGCTTCCATTATCATTTATATGCAGATGACACACAAATCTACCTGTCCTCTTCTGATCTCTCTCTGCCCATCTTGACTCGTGTCTCTGACTGCCTCGCCGCGATTTCCAACAGGATGGTTGCCAATTCCTTAAACTCAACCTGTCCAAACCAGAACTTCTGGTCTTTCCTCTCTCAAGTGTCGCTACTCTCATGTCTGTCTCCCTCCACCTTGCAGGCTCTCTGCCTTGGTGTTCTCTTTGACTCCGACCTCTCCTTCACCCTTCATGTCCAGTCGATCGCCAAATCCTGCCGCTTCCATCTCAAAAACATTATTTAACAACAGATGCAGCCCTTGTTCTTTCTCGCCTTGACTACTGCAATCCCCTTCTCAGTGGACTAACATGTTCCCATATTGCACTGCTACAATCTATAATAAATGCGGCGGCAAGGGTCATTTTCCTGTTCGCCCGCATCTCTCACGACTCCCCCCTCTGTCAGTCCCTACATTGGCTTCCAGTTAGATATAGGGCTCTGGTGCTTGCTTACAAATCCCTACACAATGCTGCTCCAACCTACCTATCCTCCCTAATACACAAGTATGTCCCATAGAGGCTCTTGCGCTCTGCCAAAGATCTACGTCTATCCTCTGTCCGTACTCCAACATCTGATGCTCGCCTCCAAGACTTCTCCAGGGCTGCATCATTTTTGTGGAACTCCCTTCCCTTCTCCGTTAGAATTTCACCCAGTATCCACTCCTTCAAAAAAAAAAAAATTTTTAATCCAATTCTTTCCCTATGTATGGCAAAAAATTGTCACTTCTGATGATGTCAACAAGGAGGCGGATCGGGGGCGTGACCAGTACCGGCAGGCCTGCTTGGCACTTGAAATAAGGTGAGTTTTAATTCCTTTTAAGGGGGATAAGGGGGGCAAGCAACCTAAATGATGGTTATAAAACTAGGGTCAGTAATACATGTTTGCGTTCCTGACCCTATAGTGTTCCTTTAAAATTCAGTGAGATATATCTGATAGAGCTTTTGATATCCCACAATATTTCTAACCCTCTCTCATTAAAGACATATATTTGTGTGGTGGTAACCCATTCTGAATAAACAAAATCTTATTAAAAATTAAAATGGAAAACAGTCAAAATATTATATAAGAAAGCTTACTGTACAGTTATGTCTTCATAATAATTCTTCAGTGTGTAATTTCTTGCATTCTTTCAGTTACTTTAAATGCCCAATCCATTTATTGGTTTCCAGTGTACAATGGCTTATCCTTTCAATATAATTTCTATTCAAGTTAAAATTGAGGTAAGAAACTGAGAAAAGGCCTATTTGTCTTGCTTGAACTGTACATAAATCATTATTAATGAACACTAATGGCCAAAGCAATGAATACAATTTGCATTTCACATGTTTACAAGCCATTTCCTAACTGTTTAGCTACTTATAAACGTGCGACTCATTATCACATTAAACAAACCACATAGGATATTATTACCAAGCTTAGGCTCATTTCTGTTGAAAATACACTTTTCGATGTCGTTAGTGTAAATTCTGGATTGCCTAGATGAGAGAATGAACTTATGAAGCTCTCAAAGCTGTGTACAACATGATAGATATCTGGTTAGTTGACTTTTTTCATCACCACCTCTACAGTTTGGGATGTAATGTTAAAGGAATGACAGGACATTTTGATAACTTTACTTCTTGTTTTGGCAATCAGGAAAACACAGCTGCTCTCATAGATGGCTTCTCATTACACTCACGATGAGCACTTTTCATAAAAAGTATTTTGTCTAAAGTGGCGATTATAGCTCTGAGAAGTAAAGACATTGCTGATGACAGATTGTCCTGCCGTGTAGGGAGTACACTGTAAAACAATCAAGTCCAAAAACACAATAGCACATCGGTGTGGATTTTAAATGACATAACCTTATGTAAGAGCTTTGGAGGCAAGGAACAATTTTCGCACGGATGGTTTGATACACAAGCCATATTGTGAGCATCATGACAGCTTATTTTAAGGAAGTAAACCTGGCCCTTTTGAAAGATTAAATTGAAATATTTCCTCTCTTAGCCTCTATATCTGCATGAATTAAAATATTCTGTTTTTGGTATGTGATAACGACTTTTTTTTATTTAAAAAAAATAAAATTTTATTATTTGCAGAATTAATGTGATTTATCAGCCTTTAGTGCATTTTTTTTACAAAATCAAAGAAGCTTGTAAAACTATTGCTTCTATCTATCTATCTATCTATCTATCTGCCTGTCTATCTATCTATCTGTTCAGATCTCTGCAAAAAATAATTTGTTTCATGGGTCCCCAGCCATGAGCCAATGAAATTATCACTGACAGTTTGGGTCACATTACTTAATATGTTCCAGTAGCAGATAAGCCTTGAGAGTTTCCATCTCTAGTCCCATGTCGTACCTAACCTCATTCTGGAACTGCACACTATAAGGTCTGTGAATAATAATACAGTGATGGGAATATGAATGATATGTGTGGCACTGTGCTCAGGGATGTCAGCAAAGTTAGATATGCCACATGTGTTAGAAGGAAAAAATTTCCTCAAGCTAAAGAGAAGAGACTGACACAGACCTTGTCCAAAACCTTAATTATTGTTCACCTTATCGATAAGGGTGAAAGCAATTCTGTCAGCTCCACAGGCTGGACGTAATTGGGATAATTAATTGTGATTTTGGTCCAATTTACTAGCACATCAATTTATTACTACTGGCTTATCCATGCCGTCGAAGGAGGGGTGGGATTTTATTTTTATTTTTCCCTTGTGTTTTTGATTACATACATGTCATTTTGAACTGTGCATATTCACACCAATCAATTCCTCCTTTTAAAGGCAGAGAACTAGATAATAACGGTTTTATGTTCTCAGTTGTATTTATACTCTTTTAATTCTGTTACTTCTACTTAAAGTTTTTAGGAGGAAAAAATACCATTATTAAATAATCAAATACAGTTATTTTACAAAATTTTGCCTCTATATATTATTTTAAATATAGCCTCAATTTAATATCTAAGCCTTTCCAATGAGTTAACATTTTTGGATAAACTTTTTAAATGATTTCATATATTGGAAAATATTTGGATCAATTGATATTTATTAAATTTTTATTGTAATATACTTTTTTTTTTTTTTAAAGTTTAAATGGACACTATAGCCAACTACAGATTCATGTATTGTTCTGGTGAGTATAATCATTCCCTGCAGGCATTTTCACACAAACACTGCCTAGAGAAAAGGCAGTGTTTACATTTCCCCCTGTGCAACACTGCCCCAGGAAGCACCTCCAGTGGCCATCTGAGAAGTGGCCACTAGAGGTGCTTCCTGGGGCAGTGTTGCACAGTGTGCAGCACTGCTGTTCAGCGTCTCCACGCTCTGCATGGAGAAGCTGAATTTTCCTCATATAGATGCATTGGTTCAATGCATCTCTATGAGGAGGTGCTGATTGACCAAGCCGGCATTTTGCCTCACCCCCATACTGCCTCATTGCCAATTTCAGCCAATCCAATGCGTCTTCATGCTCTGCATGGAGAAGCTGAATTTTTCTCCTAGATATGCATTAATTAAATGCAACTCTATGAGGAGATGCTGATTAGCCAAGCTTCCATTTGGCCCTACCTCCATCCCACCTCCTTGCCAATTTCAGCCAATCCAATGCTTCTTTATAAGAAAACATTGGATTTGCTAAAAATCATACATTCTGATGATGTCAGCAAGGAGGCGGATCAGGGGCAGCACTGGAAAAAAGGTAAGTTTTATTACCTTTTCAGGGGTTAACAGGGGACAAGCCTAAATGGTGGTTTTAACACTATAGGACCAGGAATACATGTTTGTGTTCCTGACCCTACAGTTGAGGCCTATATGAATAAAACAAATATACTCACAGTGCACTAGACTAGATTTATAAATGTGCTTCTCTGAAAGTGTAAAGTTTCCACATTTCAAAGAATGATTGTTTGTTCCTATGAACTTTGTCTAATCTCTCACAGTAGGCTGCTTTGCACTTGTAGGTAAATAACAAAACGGGATAAGTCCTTCTAAATTAAACACACTCTGTTTAGATATTTTTGAAAATGTTAACCATTTTTTCAGGAAGTGTGAAAGGAAGTTGTGTAAGTCACAGCCTTGGGTTGCTGATATCCTTTCGACATTTTGTCCATCATCTGTTATTTTACAATGTTATTTTACAACCCATTCTCCCTCTTTACCCCATTTACCTACCTATTTACCTGCTATCAATGACACATACCAAAACAAAGACCGCAGGTATTCAAAGATACACATGTTTGGAACACCACAAGGGTAGCTAGTCTAGGGGTCCACAGACAGATATATAAAATAGATTTTCCAGTGTAAGCACATTTGAACCTGGCAGCGGGTATCAAGCCCATAAAGCTCATAGTATAGCAGAGACTCAATCCATTTATCCCCAAATATTGTATTTTCTATGCTTAATACAGAATGTTGAGGCAATGGATCTTTCCATTTTACACTGATATTCAATGGTTTCTTTTATATGTTGCCGTGATTCTACTAAGGCTGTTTTCCAATTTCTGGCTATCTATACTTTAAATGTATTTATAAGGTCATTCTAAATGTATTTTGATTTAAATATATATGTATATTAATATCAAAATACAGTTAGAACACATTTAAACTGGTATATAATTTTAAATAAAATTAATTAATTTTTTTTAAATGTATTTATTTATTATATATATATATATATATATATATATATATATATATTATATTTATATATAGTAAGGGTGCTCACTCCAAGGTCCTATATCCCAATGGACCAAATAACACAATAACAAGAAAGGAGCACAACCATTAAGATAAAAATTACTTTATTAATTAAGTCTAATACACAATGTATCCCTGCATGTTACCAAAAAAGCTTTCATGATAGTAGTCAAGTAACAATCCGTACAAAAGCAACATAATACACATCAATCACATGTATTCAATCAAAAACAGAGATACAGCAAAGCTATAGAATCTATCTAGTTAACAATGGTACATTAAAGGACACCTAAGCAATATCAGAATACATACCAAACAAAGAATCAACAGCAATAGTGAGAAGCGGGAGATAATCACAAAAAAGACCCCTACATTTCCGCAAACAAGCCTTAATCAAGGGAGCATGATAAAGGCTTGTTTAACCAAACCTTGGGGGCTTTTTGTGATTATCTCCCTCTTCTTACTATTGCTGTTGATTCTTTGTTTTGATATTGGTTAGGTGTCCTTTTTTTTAATATCCTATTTTTATTAAAGTTGTTTTTTTTTATTTTTTTTGTTTGTAACAGTAGGAACATAAAAAAAAGAAAAATAATGCGCATAACATAAAGTTCATCATAATACATTGCATTAGTATGATACAGTGATAAAGAAGTCAGTTGATAAAGGTTAGGTGTCCTTTAATGTACCATTGTCAACTATATGTCATATTTAACTTTGCTGTTTCTCTGTTTTTGTTTGGATGAATACATGTGATTGACGTATTTGTAGCCAGACAAGTTGGACACACAGGAACAAAGGAATACTTTTTGCTGTATTTTTTTTTTTTTATCTGTACTAATTATACGAAAAATGAAACTACTACTTTGTACATGTGATTACTTTATTATACAGTTTCTGCAATTTACTAATATACTATATTATTTACTTTGTTGTGTGAAATCCTTTAAAAACATGTATAAATGATTTCACTTTCATTTGCTTTTAAAAATGCAATGTATCCTCACTTCCCTACATTTATATTTTAGGAATAACTACAAAATTTTAGAGGGGTTTACTTCACTATTTTAGAATAGATCCTAACAGGGGCTTCCATTAGTAAGCCCCTTGAAGTAAGCATTAGCTGATTGCTCTCAGCCAATGAGCTAAGCCCTGCACAACCAAGTGTAGCTCAGGCAGATCCTACTGGCTGACTGAGAGGTGTGGAGCAGCACCCGACAGACCCAATTTGGCCATTTATATTAGGGGGGCAGAAGGGCACTCATTGCTCCATAACCACTACAGTGCACTAGGAGTTTAACATTAAAGCTTGGTGCAGTACTCCTGCATGCTGCTCACTTTTATGGTACTAGTTCGCATCATCTTTCTTGCGCCAACCATTATATGTATACTGATGATGCTCTAATAAATGAAGTTACAATGGTGTAATGCTGATATGTTTGTGTCAATGTACATAGTTATAGTAATATGCACCAATAATTAAGCATACCTGTTCTTTACCTCTATATTCTGGCATAATGCATGCAAGAACATTGTCTAGCTTTCCAAGCCTTAAAAATGTTTGTACATTTATTCCTAATTTCCCATTATCTAGATAGGTGTGATCTCTGCAGTTCTCACCTTAGAAATATAGAAACATAGAAACATAGAATGTGACGGCAGATAAGAACCATTCAGCCCATCTAGTCTGCCCAATTTTCTAAATACTTTCATTAGACCCTGGCCTTATCTTATATTTAGGATAGCCTTATGCCTATCCCACGCATGCTTAAACTCCTTCACTGTGTTAACCTCTACCACTTCAGCTGGAAGGCTATTCCATGCATCCACTACCCTCTCAGTAAAGTAATACTTCCTGATATTATTTTTAAACCTTTGTCACTCTAATTTAAGACCTTGGCATAGTTGATGTACAATTGTAATCAAAATTATTCAACCCCCATTGTTTATTATAAAAATGTAAAGGTGCTCAGCTGTTTGCAATGAACAAATCAAGTAAAGGCAAGTGGTTTCCCCAAATTCAACTGAAAATGCAACTTATAATGACTACTCCAGTATCAAACGTATTCAGCTCCTTCATGGCAAGCATCTTTAGTACACAGTAGAGCACCTGAGTAGAGCAAACAAGATGTATAGCCAGACACCAGCTTCTGCCTGCATCCCTGAAGAATCTTAGCCACTTGCTCCTGAGCAATGGCCTCCAGTTCAGTAACATTCTTGGGTTTGCATGCTGCAACCACCTTCCTCAAATACCACCAGAGATTTTCTATGGGATTCAATTCAGTGACTGTGATGGCCACTGTAGAATTTTCCGGAACATCTTCTGTAACCAAATCCTGGTGGAATTTGAGGTATGCTTGGGACAATTGTCTTGTTTGAAGGTCCAATGACACCCAATTTTCAGCTTCCTCACAGACAGCATGATGATTTCACATAGGATTTCCTGATATGTCAATGAATCAATCTTCCCTCCCACATGCTACAGGTTTCCAGTGTCAAAGGATGCAAAGCAGCCCCAGAGCTTCAGCAAGCAACCACCACCATGCTTATCTGTAACCTGAGTATTCTTTTCAGTGTATGCTTCATTCTTCTTCCTCCAGACATACCGCTGATCCATTGGGCTGAAAAGTTCCAGTTTTGTTTCATCGCACCACAGAATAGAATCCCAGATTTGGAGCATATTGGAGCCAACTTTTCTTGTGCTTTTGGGTTAGAAGTGGTGTACGTCTTGGACTTCTGGCATGAAAATATTCTGGGTCTAGTACATGCCTTACTATGTTAACTTAAACCTTAGTGCCTGTTGTCACAAAGTCTTGCTGCAGGTCTTTTGCAGTCACTCAAGAGTGTTTCACAACCTACCTTCTCAGAAATCTGGCTGCAGACATTGTAAGCTTCCTTTTTTCTGCCCCATCCAGGTAGTGTAACTGCTGTTCTTTCAACTTTTAACTATGCTTCCAAAGGTGTCTCTAGGAACATTCAGTGTGTTCACTATATTTTTGTATCCTGTTCCTTGTTTGTGAAGGGCAATGATCTCACTTAACTTTGTGGACTGTTCTTTTGACTTATTTCTAACATGCAGTCAAACATGACACACAGCAAACCCCTAGCCAGTTCAGGTATTTCAAATGTTCCAGCTCAGGCACACCTGGTGCAGCTAATAAAGCCCTTGATTAGTTGCATCAGGTCTGCTTGAGACAACTGTTTTGCATATTTGTGCAGTTGTGAGGGATTTTTTTTAATGTTAATTTTTATCAAAGTTTCATATTAACTACATACATACAGTTGACTAACACACACATACAGTTGACTAAGTTGATTAATTAATATAATTAATATTAGGCCTTAATGCATGCTATCAATGTCACATACCAAAACAAAGACCGCATGTATTCAAAGATACACATGTTTGGAACACCACAAGGGTAGCTGGTCTAGGGGACCACAGACAGATATATAAAATAGATTTTCCAGTGTAAGCACATTTGAACCTGGCAGCGGGTATCAAGCCCATAAAGCTCATAGTATAGCAGAGACTCAATCCATTTATCCCCAAATATTGTATTTTCTATGCTTAAAGGACCACCCTAGGCACCCAGA